TGAGGACAGAATGTTCTTCCTAAGATGTTCTGCAGAGGGATCTGCCCAGAAGGGAGTCTAAGTTTGGCAGATAACTGTTTACCATGGCTGGTGACTCAAGAAAGAGACTACCTTCAAAGGATGGCACTGGGAAGGGGACGAAAGTTTTCAAATCCACCAAAGAAAGGCACAAATTTCACTTTGGGCATGATCCATCCATCCAGCCTCAAGAGCCCCTCATTGCTAGTAATTACATTTCTAGTCTAACCAGGTGAGAAAAATAAAGGAAGAAACTGCTTTGTTCCCTCCCCGCCTTTTTCTCTGTTGACCCTGGGACCAGCACCCACAGGGGTAAGGAGCAGGAGGAGGAAACAGCTCCAAAGTGAAACTCATGCCTTTTTCTTCCTCTTCATCATGGGCTCACTTATAGGGAGAGGTGGAGGAAGACATACAATTGTTATCAAGTTCAGAGCAGAGAGAGCTTCCAAGAGGTGACCTGGAGAAGCAGCAGGGTACAGGGAAGCTGACTTTCCAAGTTCAAATGCCAGTCCTACCCTTTATTAGCTGAGTCATGTCAGGCAAGTTAGTTGCTTAACCTCTCTGTTCCTCAGTTTCTTTACCCATTTCAAATGGAGGTGATGATTATACCTTCCTCATGGGACTTCTGTGAGGATTAAGAAACATACACATCTTTGTAGGTACTATCATTGCCACTGAAGGCATTCCTGGGTTTTGGGCTGTACTGACTCACATTCTCATTTCCAGGAGTATGTGGTACTCCTTCTGTCTAGATAAGCAAATGTTCTAAGAGAAGTTACAGCATTTAAGTTTCATAGGCAGCTTTCTTGAATTGGGGCAAGAGATGGGTTCATCCGTGATATTCCTCAAACCAGAATGAGGGCTCAACTTCCTCAACATGGGGATCTTTCCTCTAAGTTAATTACATTCACTTTCCTCTCTCCTTGCCTACTCCTTGTCTTTTATCACTCATTCCTCTCTCTGTGTGTTCTTTTAGCATGTGACCACCAGGAATCAGTAGAATAATCCAAACTCAGTCCATTATGTCTGCTCCAAGCACCAGGTCTAGGACTGCCTCAGCTGGGGGTTACCAAAGCCCCGTCATGGGAGACACAAGTTCTGGATGGCTCCTCAGAGGAGCTACCTCTAACAAGGGTGTTCCAGCAGATGGATTCCTCTCTGTGACTGACTATTTTCCATGGCTCCTGGCCATGTGACCTTGGACCATGATCTTGTCAGTTCTCATAAACTAACCAGGAGCGGAATGAATCACACTCAGAGAGGAAACCTCTAGGGGAAGCTGCAAGGGACTGAGAGAGGAAGGGAAGTGAGTTGGAGATCCCAAAGGCCATGGGAACCTCGCCACCCCCAGGCCTTCCCCACCCCTGAGCAGCTCTGACCTTACAGGAAGAAGCAGGAGGCAGTGGCTTTGGGAGACAGGCTGGGCTGCAGGAGGGCTACTCTTTTGAATAAGATGTAGGGTCTCAGTCCAAGAGATGAACTATGCCCAACACCTCCACCTCCAACTTGAAGAGGTGGTCTGCAACGGCCATGATCTGAACCCTTGGTTGGTGACACCCAAAACCTCCATTCTTAGGAGCCCCAGGACGTCATAATAAGATAAATGAGATAGTCAATATACACACACGGGAATGGGTACCTACACCTTACTGTGGGGTCTGGGTGTCCTGTGGGAGGTGATGAAAATGTTGGGTAAGCCACTCAAGGTCCTTGATTTCCTCTTGGTGGGGAAGATGTTTGGGGAATGCCACATGAAGGACTTAGGTAAAGCCAAGAACGTTAAACCTGAAAATGAAGTGCCAATGAAATCTTCATATTCTTCAATATCCCGAATTTGGGTGTTGCATAAACAAAACCCTGAGCTTCTCTGCCTCGTTTTTGTTTTTTTTTTAACTTTAAATAATCTTTGAATTCCAAAGTTTTAGCTTTGTAAAACTCTGTAGCTTTGGAGCATGAGTGAGTTTGAGTTCTCTGACAAGTTAATATATTGTTAGCGAAATTATTTCTGAATAAAATATGCACACATAAACAAATCCCTTAACTATGTATATGTTTTAACGACTTTCTGGGCATTCCTTTGATTCAGTCCTGGGGAGCAGAGAATGTATATGTGTGTCTGTGGGTAGAGCGCATTTATTTATGCTTACACAAAAACTCAGAGTGCAGCATGCTATTTTAAGAGTCTGAACTTTATCTTTCAACAAAGTTTAGCTGCTTTCCTTTTGCAAATGCATTTAATTTTATCTGGAAACTTTTTGACGTTAGAAATAGAACAACTGTAGTTTCTCATTATGTTTGCTGCCAGAATCCATGCTTGGTTGCTCAACTAAAGACCTTATATTGCTAATTACTACCACATGCCCATATCCCAAGCGAAGGAAAACTTATTGATTTTGACAGCCCATTCTCTCAACACTGAATTCCAAATGAAAACTCAAATTTTGGCCAAACATAACATTTCATCAATCTTGTTCTACTGACTGGAAAAACAACATCAAACAAAGGGTGCTAATGGCCCTTTATTACCGCTCCTTTCCCAAGCTTATATTTTCTGATGAAAGATCTAAGTGACCAAAGGGCTTCTTTAAACTACTTAGTAATTAGCTTTTGAACCAGGAAACAATGCGTAAAGTAAAGTGAACAGGCCTGGTGCTGATGACAGAATGGACTCTGTGTCTGCAGGGTCGGGGACACGGGAGACCAAAAGAGAACATTAAAAGCAAAGTGCATTTTCATAAAGGGAGAAGGAAAAAGAGAGAGAGAGAGAGACAGAGAGAGAGAACCAGGCTAAAAGTGGTGATAAAAGCTTATAGAGCCAAAAGAGAACAGCAGGAAGTCTGTGACCTAAAGTCATCAGTACCTGAAAGTTTGAGTGGAACTGCCAGGGCAAAAGATGACCAGATCGAACCCGGGCCGGTGAGTGAATGCTGGGCTGAAGGCCTCAACTGGGTCACCTGTCACCAAAAGCTGCCAGCCCCCAGCCCACCCACATTTGACTAGGGAAACTATTTTGTTTAAAAAAAAATTACCTGGAATGAGAGTCAAGAAATATTTTCAACCTAGACGTCAGGGCAATTGATTTTATTGACTTCTTCAGGGGTAATGATTAGGAAATGCTGGCAGAGACAGTGGGCGACAGAGGAGGTCATAAAAAGAGTCCTGGGCCTCAGAATGCCGTCTGCTTTATGGCGACCTGTCCACACCTTACAGGCAAAACAAATCGAGATGCTGTTTTCCTCTTGGCATGGGATAAATGACCAGTGGGAAATCTCTGGATGTATTTGGCCTTTTGGATCCAACCAACAGCCCAGAAATCAGAACAGCTTGGTTCTAACCACATCCAGGGCTGTTAAGATAATAGGGAAGGGAGGGGTCCATTAGAGGGAAGATGGAAGAATGTGCTGTCTCCATGAAAAGACGCCAACTGGCCTCCCTTTGCTCACTGTCCTTTGTGCCTCTGAAAGGAAACTGGTGTCCTGTGGGTAGTTTAAGAAGATGAGCCCTTTTTTCCACCTCCTCGTTTTCCAAATGCAGGACTGGACACCTGAGCTCAGGATGCACTGGGCAGAGGGGAGGGTCCACTCCATCCAGTATGGCTGACTGTCGAAACGAGAAGGGGCAGCGATGGAGAGAAGCATGATGCTACAGGTTTGATTTTATTTTCTCTTAAAAACCCAAGTAAGCTCTTCAAGAGATCATTTGAAAATGAATGAAAAGAAAAAGAAAAAAAAAACAGTTCCATGATAGGAACTTCCATACTTCCATGCCTGGGAAAAGGCATGAGTGATGAAAATGTTCTGTGTCATGATCTGAAAGATAGGATGGTTAGTTACTGAGTGTGCACCTAGACCCAAATTCCTCGAGCTGTACATTAAAGATGTGTACATTTTACTCCATGCAAGCTATACCCCCAAATCAAAACAAAGCTGAGTGCCCAAGAAAAAGCTTTCAGAAAGAAGTTAAGGATGGCTGCCACCAGTCCCACCTCCCCTACAGTGTTCTTGTCTTGAGGTGCTCTGGCAGAGGGCCCTGATGGGAAAGCCCCACCCCTTCCTTGGGAGAAAGATTTCCAGTCTATATTGAACGTGTACATTGATACTGATAGTAACAAAATGATCTGAGCACAAATTGAAATCGTTCCCAAGAAGAAAGCATTCATGTTTTGTGAAGTTCAACAAAAGACTCATCAGGAAGAGCATGTACTGGCCTGACATCCCATAAATACAATATTTCTCGCCCAGGAGGCATTTTAGCTGGGTAATGAGGCCCTCTGAGGATAAGATCAGTGGCTGCTGCCTGAAGAGGAGAAGCAGGTCCCTGGTAGCCACAAGGTCTCTGCAGTAGGCAAGATGACCTGCGTCATACCACCCAAGGACTTCCTTGCTAGAATTTTATCCTGCATTATTGCTGCACAAAAACCATCATAGGATGGCATCCCACTAGTTTAAGGGAGCAAAATTATATCATTTATCCAGATGACATGAAGAATAAATGAGCCTGGTCCACTTGTTAGGGATCAGAACAAAACACACGGGCTGCATTCCATATGAACTCCTTTCAATTCAAATTCATTATGTCTCTTGAAAACTGTGAATGGGATCAAGGCCTAGGGAGTTGCTCCAAGTGTGACAACTTCCTGGGGTAACCTGGGACACCACACCCGTGCAGAACATAGGCTCTCCCTCACAGAAGCACCCATTGGGGTGGGGGAGGGGCAGCATTCAGATGTCACTTCCACGGGGACTCTTGAAAGTTCACTCAACCACATCTTTTCTGATGCAACTGACTTACTTTCTGCCTCCATGTTTGTTAAAAGTCCCGCCGAATTTATTCCGATTCAGGATGAGAGCAGCAATTTCGGGCACGTAGCGGGCAAACATTGCCTACATGCATGAAACAAAGAAACAAGAGCCGAAAAAAAAAATGGCATGCAGAGAGGATTCTACCGCAGCGGAGGCAGCAAAACCTCTTGGCATACTTACTTTCTTCCACTAACCGCACTATAGGAGCCCCCGTATTTCTTGCGGTTTCCTATCAACTCTATGATTTCAGGGACGTAGCTGGCAAACATGGCCTGAGAAGATAGGAGACAGAAGAGAGACTAAAAAGACAAGCCAAAGAAAGGGGGAGGGGGGAATTTTCCAGAAGGGGGGATACTAAGATCTGAAAACACAAAAGGATTAGACCTGTGAAGGTATATCTTGGTATGTCGGATTATAAAAAATAAAAGCACAAACAGGGCAAGCTCCTGAAAATATACAGGACAAAACACATATTAGCCAATGCTGATGACTAAATTTTAAAAGAAGTTGAGAAAAATACAAAGCAGACAGGAATAAATAAAGGGGATCTCTAACTCTTCTGGGTGAAGAAAAAGAGCAAAAGGGGTGCATGCTAGTGAAATTAAACACACACACGTGCGCACGAACAGACAAGCACACTTTTTTTTGCAAAAGAAGTCCTTTCTCATTAAAATTCAGAGGAAAATCAATGCCTTTATGAGTAATTAAAGACAATAAACAACAAAAGAGAATTACAAAATAAACTTTTCCATTAAAAAAAATACTAAAAAGCACAAAAGGTTAATTTAGGAAATCACACAAGAGGAAAAGACAGCAAGGAGAAACACAAATCTGCCATGTTTTGTCCAACAAACATTTTGCTTGTGGCTGAATAAATGGGTCTTGTTATCTATGGGTACCTCCCAAGGATGTGGTAGAAACACTTGCATTAATGTACATACGCACGTGCACATTCATATACATTTTATAAATGTATATAGCCCATGCATACAAAACAGAGAGGTGTGTATGCATCACTAAATACAAATGTGCGTGCAGTGTACATATGTGACAGCTGCGTGTAACTTAGGATCTTAATCACTTCCTTCACACACAGCAAAAAGCTACACTTAAAATGAGCTACTGTGAAATACAAAATGCAGCAACCGCCAATGTGTGACCAGAAATCCCCCTCGAATTACATTATAAGGGATGGTTTAGTGCAACATAAAGAGCCGGGTAGACCTTTAAAAAACAAATAGTGGAACTTTCTTGCAAGAGGGGAAGAAAAATATCCCGCAGCAACGTGGAAGGGGCTGTTCTCAAAACTATACTCTGCTCATGTGGTGATGTCCACTTGGACAGGACCAAGGTGGTGCTCTCCACCCTCTGATGTGGGGACTCTTCTCTTCAGGGCAGGCCCCAGCCACAATGTTTGTTGGAAGTTTGGGGAGGAACATATAGGGGCAGGGGGAGCTCTTGAAACCGCAAACTGCCTACAAAATACTGACAGCATCTACCAGGGTCAGGTGGCAGTAACTGTCCTTGAAGCATACAGACACTCTGACTTATTAACAGCATCACCTTCTTAAGACAATTAGGCTTGTTCCTGGCTAAATGACTGTCCCTGACAAGGGCAATGTACCTGGATCTATGGGACAAGCGTCATACACCAAAGAAATATGCAGAAAATGCATCATCGTGCCTGGATCTACGTAGCCTGATTGTAACATTTAGGCTTCTATCACTTGCTTCTAATGCAGAAACACAGTATCAAAATGCAAGGCTTAAGGGAATGTATCACAGGAAATATTAACGACCATGAGAATCAACATCATAATAAAGAGTTTTTACCAGTCCCCCGAGGATGAAGAAGACCATGAAGAGGCGTCCAAGTGTGGTTTTTGCATAAACATCCCCGTAACCAACGGTGGACATGGTGACCATGAGTAAATAGACACATTCCCAGTAGGTAAGAGCCTGGTTGTTTTGGAAATTTTCCCATGGGTCCCCTGAATTCTCCACCTAAAGCAAGAGGATAGGGGGAAACAAATAAAACCATCATAAAGGTGAGTGTGTAGACATACAGGAAACCATGAAGCACAGCGCTGCTGCAGGCTGCTGGCCGGCCACATCACCCTCCACACCAAACCTGTGGTTCCCGGGGTTGCGTTCTGTAGGTTGGGCCGAGAACCCCAGGGCAAGTAACAGAGAAAGTAGAAAAGCTGGACTAGGAAATGCCTTCCCAGCTGATTGGGTAGAGAGGGGAAGGAAGGAGGGAAATGTCTTCAGGCCATTTTTTCCCCCAGGATTAAAGGTCTGAAGTTGAATAAATTTAGGGCATCGCTTCGGGCCATGTTAATAGCGCTCTTCAAGGAAAGCACCAGAGATACCTACCCTGACCTTCCTCAGAGGGCCTAGCTCTGGTTCTCCCACAGAAATCCTAGGCTCTCACAATGGAGGGCCGCTTCTTCCGGTCATTTTGACCAAGGATGTGCCTGGTGGGCCCTACTCCTTCAGAACTGCCCAAACCCAAATAGCATCTCTGGGAGCCTGGCCCTGCTCTCCCTCCTCTGTAAACTGACAACAGATGTCCTAGCCTGGAGGCTATAGGATTCTCCCCAGGAGCACCAAAAGTGAGTTCCCAAGGACCATTTGCATTTGCACAACACTTTAGACCCAGGACTGGCAGACTTTTCCTATAAATGGCCAGATGGTAAAAATGTCCGGTTTTGCAGGACACGCTGGTGCCAATCTCTGTCACAACTATACAATTCTACAGAGGCAAAACTTCAGCAAATGAGCATGGCCAGATTTGGAGAGTTTTGGCCCAGGACTGTAGTTTTCCCACTTACTGTCCTCCCATCATATCTGATCTGCCAACAAGGCTTTGAGGAGGGGAGTAGAGGTCCTTAGATACTCTCCGTAAAGAGGAAGTGACAGGGTCAGTTCTACCCAGATCCCAACCCTACAGCACCAACAGCCAGTGCCCATGATCCACCAGCATGGCCTGGAGACAGCCGACCCCAGGCCTTCAACGCTGTCTTTGCAGAGTTTCCGGGCGAGTAGATTGCCAGAATCCACAGATTCCAGACCAGCCTGGGCAACTTGGCAGGACCTGTCTCTACAATAAAAATCAAAAGTTAGCCAGGTGTGGTAGCACACACCTATCATTCCAACTACTTGAAAGGCTGAGGTGAAAGGATCACCAGAGCCCAGCAGATCAATGCTGGAGTGGCCATGAGTGTGCCATTGCACTCCAGCCTGGGCAATGGAGTGATACTCTCACTCAAAAAAAAAAAAAAAACTCTTCCTAGACTAGGAAAAGTTTAGGCTGAAGGAAAAGTTCCAGGCTCACTGATATCTTCAACAGCAGGTGCAGAACCATGCATACAAGCAAATGACCTGGCTATAAGAAACTTCACACCTACCTCATCAGACATACCTACAGGCAAGGGAGCAGCTAGCTGCAGGAAACATGACACTCACCTAACAGCTAGGCTCTTAGATATATCCACAGCACTGTATACAGGATGCTTGCAGTTGGCTGAGAGCCCAATACCAACGAAGGAATCAACTCAGAGACACCTCCCAGCCCTGCCTCCCAACATGCCCAGCAATAGCCAAGGTTAACCTAAGATAACTCTAATGCTTTATTATAACATTATTAGCATAAAATTACCCTAGGGCAGCCTCTCACTGATGCCATAACGATACCAGTATGAGCCTCCAAGGCCCAAACCTTCCCTGCCTTACACAAGGGAGGAACAAGACCCAGTCCTAACACCACCCATTTCTAGGAAAAAACCCACCTCTAAACCCACTCCTTGGTACTCCTAAGAATAAAAGTTATGTTATTTATTTACAATAATCGGGTGCAGAAGCAGCAGCATTCTGTCAGCTGTTTCTACCTACTCTCCTCTCTTGAGAGTGTGCTCTTCTTTGCTTAATAAAGCTACTTGTTTATCCCACTTCCCTGTGTGTCTGTGAATTCCTTCCAAACGTGAACACAAGAACCCAGTCATCAGCCAAGAAACCTTACAAAGGGCTGAGTGGGGAACCCCAGATGTAGCAACTGTGTGAATCCCCTGCCACTGTCCCAAGCCTGTCTTCCTTTGGGTGATAATTTCATAAATCCCAACTGGTAGGTAGCTAAATGTATCCTTCTACTGTTTATACAGAGGTTTGGCATGGCGAGGGGAGGTCACTTTTATCCTAAGTCTCACACTTAGATAAGGCTCCTTCCTGTTGTAACACTCTATGTTTTTATGAAACACGCTTCCCGCGATAGCTGTATTCTAAAAGCAGGAAAAAAACTGCCTTGGGGGGAGGCGAGGAGGGCTTGACTTAATAATGTAAGGCTTTTGAATTCATATGAAAGAATTAACATTTTGGGGGCACCAAATAACTTGACGAGTAATCAGGCAAAAGGCTCAAAGGTGGCTTTCGTACCAGGAATGCACCACCACACCCAGCTGATTTTTTGATTTATTGTAGAGATGAGGTCTCACTGCCCAGGCGGGTCTCGAACCCGCGGGCTCAGGCAATTCACTCACCTCAGCCTGTACCAGGAATGTATCCGGAATGGCGAAAAATTGAGGGATCTGAATTTGTTTCCTAAGAGATGGGGGTCAAACTTCTAACCTTGTCCCCAGACCTTTTCCAGACGTTTGCTGAGGAAGCACTGCCATCTTGTGGCTTACTGGGATATTGCGGACAGAATGTAAAATTTACCCAAGCTCCCGCAGCAATCCTGATGAGCTGAAAAAATGCAGGTTAATCGTGCAAACATTACTCACCATTTGGAACTAGTTTGGGGTAAAGGGGTTGGAAACCCCGACAATTGTGCGGTTGCTTCCCCTTTTCCTGTCTACAACTGAGGTGAAGTTTCTTAGCAGCGAGAGAAATTTCAGGTAATAAAATGACTCAGAGAGGGGCTCGTTCCAGGCCAGGCGAGAGCCGAAGGGTCTTCAAGGGTACTTACCAAATGGATGAACCCGGCTGCAGTCAGCCACGTGCTGATAAATATGGACAGCAGATTCACCAGCTTGATGGAATTACTGTGCAGAGACAACAGGCAAAATTTCCAAGTTACAAAGGGAACACCCCGCCGCCGCTGCCTTACAGAGTACTAGCGCCCCCTTTTGGGGAGAGGCCGCCACCTCCAGCTCCCAACCATTTCTTCTTTATAGGGGAATTCTCAGAAGTGGGGTAGTTGGTCAGGCACGAAGGTCACCACGGAGCCCACAGGGAAATTACACCTGGTCTACTGAAAGCAGTCCCTGAATTATCCCCAAGTTAGTTTAAAACTTTTTTAAATTTAATTTTTATTTATAAAAACTTCAAATTACAGAGAAATGGAAAAAACAGTACTATGAATATGTGTATGCCCTTCACCTAGATTGGCCACTTATTAACATTTCACCAGATTTGTTTTATCTCTATATATGTTTTTTCTCATTTCCTTTTCTTTTTCCTTATAATTTATATATATAAACTTTTTACTTTTTTTTTTTGAGTTGGAGTCTCACTCTGTCACCCAGACTGGAGTGCAGTGGCCGCTCCCGGCCACCGCAGCCTCGACCTGCTGGGCTCTGGCGATCCTTCTGCCTCAGCCTTCCAAGTAGCTGCAACTACAGGCACGCGCTACCACACCTATCTAATTTTTTGATTTATTATAGAGATGAGGTCTCACCAAGTTGCCCAGGCGGGTCTTGAACCCGCGGGCTCAGGTAATCCACTCACCTCAGCCTCCCAAGGTACGGGATTACAGGCTGAGCCACCGAGCCTGGCTTTCTTTTTATATTTTTATTTTTGGGGTTGAACCCTTTACAAATAAGTTGCAGGCACCATGACACAACCCCTCGATCCTTCAGCAATCAGTTCCTAAGAAGGACATAGTGCAACATAATCACAATACCACTGTCACACCTAAGAAAATTGGCATGAATTCAGTAACATCATCTAATATACAGCCCTTTTTTAAAAGTCTCCAGTTGTGCCACAATTATGTTTATTGATGTTTTTATTTTCCCCCCATACTAAGGTTCATGCATTGCATTTGGCTATTAGATGCTTTAATCCGGAAGTCAAGACATTTTTTCTGCATAGGAACAGTTAGTAGATATTTTAGGTTTTGAAAGTCATACAGTCACTGTGGCATAAAAGCAGCCTTAGATGACTTATAAAGGAATGAGTGTGACTTTGTTCCAATAAAACTTTATTTACAAAAACAGGCAGCAGACTGGATTAGCTCCTGGACTATAGTTTGCCAACCTCAGTTTCAGTCTCTTTTAATTTATAAGTAACACCCCTCCCCTGCCCATTTTTGTTTTTAATGACATTAAATTTTGTGTGAACCCAGAGTGTCTTACAGAATATCCCATATTGTGGATGTGTCTGATTGTTCCCTCATAATTAGATTCTTTTTATTTTTGTTTTTGCAAGTAAATTTTATTGTGTATTTTGAGGTTTATAGTATGATGTTATGGGATACACATAGATAGTAAAATGTTTACTTTAGCAAATTAACATCGCTGTGATCTCAGTTATTTTTGAGACCAGAGCAGCCCTACTTACTCGACAAAAATTTCAATTACCACATAATTAATAATAGTCCTCATGTTGTATATCTGACCTCTAGACTTGCTCATCCTACATGTCTCCTACTTAGTAGAATAACTCCTGTTTAAATACTTCTGTTAAGAACAAGATGGCATCACATCAGGATATTCCAAGTCAATGAGGCTAGGTCATTCACATGGTTAAGGTGGGAATGCTGGCTCTCTCCACTGAAAGGTACCCACATCTCCTTGTAATTAATACGCCAGCTTGAGGTCAGACTCTGAGACTGAGACTGGATCATATCCTCTTCCCCAATAGCTTTATACTAATAGCTTTAGCATGCACCCATGTTCCTGGAGTAGATCCACTGGAAGTCTCTAAATGGTAAGCTCCATGAGAGCCAAGGCCTGGTCTGTCTGGATCGCAGGAGTAGTGGATCCCTGGAGCACATCAGGGCCCGTGAATATGCACTGAAGACACTGGTCTCTACCTCTGCCTTCTTCCCACTCAATTTCATCTTGTCCACTCCCACTGAGGTATAGTTCCTTGAGCGCTGCCGTTAGCAGGTCACCTCGCTATCCCCAGGCTTCTTGTTGACTAGAATATGATGCCCAAACTCTTCCCTTCCATCCTCAACACCCTCAACACCCTGTGAAGTCCCAGGCTGTCCTAGCACCATGCTTTATAAACTCCAGCACAACAGAACCTATTTCCCAATGCTATGTTTATGCCACTCAGCCAGAATGTATTGCCCAACTAGAAAGCCCTTACCATCAAGCCAGATATTCCCATTCTTCAATGCCTGCTTCAATCCCCATCTCTTCCTCAAACTCATTCCACTCAGCTGCAGCACAAACTACCTTGTCTCCTTGGCTCTTACCTCTAGCCATTCATTGGTGATTAATTCCACCATCTAAAGACCTCTTTTGCAAAGTTTTAGATCACGATTTGAATCTTGTGTTCCTTGCTGCATCTTGCAGAAAAGAACTCTATTTTCCACCTCTTGTATTTTCCCAGCAGTGACCTTATGCAGCTTGCAGGGCTGTTCAGTCCATCGTTCTTGGTCTATTTACCTCTGTTATGTCTGCCCACTCTATCCCTTTCTTTGAAGGAGTCAATAATTTAAATTCTAAGAGTTTAAGATCACAGTGATATTATCTCTTAACAACACTTCGATAGTTCTTTGCCAGTGCTCACCACATGTACCAGTTATAAGTGCTTTATGTCTACAAACTCTTTTAATCCTCATGACAATCTTTCTTCTCTTATGTAATTGCACAGAGGAATACAGTCTTCTTCTTTTTCCAGAGTTTATTTTGGAGGTTCAGGGTAACAATAAATAGATATTTTCAATTTTGTCTGTAAGATTAAACTTTTTTTGTGAAATGACTTCCTTCTGATTCAAAAACTTAGGCTAGAAAAACAACTATGCCCCCTCTATCTGAGTTACCAGGTTATACTAATTGTAGTATTTATTGAGCTCTTATTATGTGCTAGGCACTGTGTTAAGTAGAACCTTCCATTGCTTCTACCCTGTAAGGTGTGTTCTATCCTGTAAGATGTGTTCTACCATTGGAGATAAGAAATAGGTGAACAACAGGTAGCCTGTGGCAAAGAGAGCGATCTCAGGGACATGTGCATTGTCCATTTTCTCAGAGGATAATTAAACACCAAGTGGACTCACTGCATACTCCCAGATCCTGGGGACCTGAACACAGCATTGTCCCAGCAACAGTTATGTGGCGTCCTCTTGGGATAGTAAACCTCTCTAAGCCTCTCGGTGCTTTGGGCAAACGACCTAAATACAGTGATTATTATACTCTAAATGATTGTTACAGTGATATTAATAGTGCTCAAGGGAGCTCTTGCTGTGTGTAGAACATTTAATCACTGTTGCTAATACAGTCCATGTTCAGCTCTGAAATCTGATTATTTTTATGACATCAGCATTATCACAGATCCCTAGGTTTAGGAATTTGCTTTCCAAATTAAATTCTACCATCAAGCAATCAGCTGAAAGTTGTAAGCAAAAGACACAAGATTAACACTTGGTGGGCATTCATTCTCCATACTCTGAAATGTGCATCTTGCCAGGTGGAGTAGAGCTTCTTGGAAGGAAAGAGTGAGGGTGCCAGGAGCATGGTTGTGTGCTCTGCATGGCAAAAGGACCACTGTAGATGGTTATAGACTTTGTGGTCATGCCCAGGGTTCTGGGCCAAACATGAAGCCATCAGTGGTTAGAATTATTAGATCTATTCACATTCTAGCCCCCTTCTTATGACATGAGGAAGAGATGGCTTAAGATCCTATCATGAAAACCTGATCTGTCTAAAGAAAATCATTCTCGGCTGGGTGCAGTGTCTCAAGCCTGTAATCCCATCACTTTGGGAGGCTAAGGCAACAGGACTGCCTGAGCCCAGGGGTTCGAGACCAGCTGAGACAACTTGGTAAGACCTCGTCTCTACAAATAAAAAAAAAATTAGCCAGACATGGTAATGCCTATACTTCCGGCTACTTGGAAAGCTGAGGTGGAAGGATCGCCTGAACCCAGCAGGTCAACGCTGGGGTGGCCATGAGCGTGCTACTGCACTCTGGCCTGGGCGACAGAGTAAGACTCCGACTAGAAAGAAAGAAAGAAAGAAAGAAAGAAAGGAAGGAAGGAAGGAAGGAAGGAAGGAAGGAAGGAAGGAAGAAAATTATTCTCATGATTCCATTACAATTCCTGAGTCTCCATCCTGTGAGTTCTCAACAACCCTTAGAGTAATTCCACATCACCGGACATGGTGCATCATCAAAGAGTAAGCATAAGCACAGGACTCTTGTGAATCAGAGGCATTTTCCAGGACTTTGTGAATGCTAGCAGAGAAGGTCTGACTCCAGAGATTCTAGCTGTAAACTCAGAGATGCTGGGGGCCTTCTTTGCCCTCTGTGTAATTAACAAGACATCTTTGGGTTAACACTCAAAATATCATCCACTTTGCACAAAGACATGCATACTTGTCCCTGTTCTGCTTTCTTCCACTTCTGTTCCTGGAGGTGGAGGGGTACAGCCAGATGTCACTGGCCTTATTTTGTCTTATTGCTACCTCCACTGGACAGATGTAAAATACCCACTCCCTGAAAAGTCAATTGAGCTATACCACACTGAGATGTCTGAACTATGAGACAAGGAGTGAAGCAAAATCAAGTTCTGCCAATTTTATCCCTTAATTATCTCTAGATCCCGTTTCTTCTTCTCCATTCTGACTTGCACTGCCTAAGGCCATGCCCTAATACATCTTCTCTGGACTTATTGCTCCCGACTGGTCTCATGGTCTACAAGGTGTTAAACACTTCAGACACTCTCTACATAATTGCTGAAATTGTGGATTTTTCTAAAACGTAAATCTGTCCACATTTCCTCTCCTGATTAAAATCCTTTAACAGCTTCTCTCTTTCTCTCAGTGAAATGCATAAATCTTAAAGCCTTCATGGTGTGACCTCTCCCTGAATCCTTGCAATCTTCAGGTGGAGTATTCTTTTTTACAAGCTTTACCTTAGAGTCATTTCTAAAGTCATATATGTAGCAAAGTTTTGGTTTCCAAAATGCCCCCAAAAACGTATCAGTTAGGGAAATAATGGTGCATACATATCCTGGAATGCTATATGGGAAACAAAAGTGATGTGGAAGATAGTGAGTGTCACCCTCCAAGTACTGTGGTGTGGGAGAATGTTACTTTATCCTTTATGCCTGTCTATAGTGTTGTGATGTTTGTAATGAACATATTTTACTTCAAAAATTAGCAGAAACAATAAGACAGTTCCCATTTTGAAAAAAATTGCTTGTCAATCTATGTTTAATCCCCAATATCTACTGTGGTCAATGAGATGTGGAATTACTGTCCATAAACACAGCTGCCTGCTTTGCACTGACTGGAGAATATGCGTTCCAACACCTGTATGTCAGCCGATCCATTTGCAGGGCCAAGGAGGAACTGCCAAAAGCTATGACTGGGAGACTCCCTGTCTCCCCTTTAATAGGCCAATTTCAGGATATGGGAAATTCCAGGCCCTCTATTGGCTTGCAGTTCAGGGAAGGGCCCTGATGTTGATCACATAACTGTGACTTGCCAGTTTCATCCTGTGCACCCTGGTCTCCCTCCTGCTGTTCTCTTAATTCTTTATCAATCTCTCTCTCCCCCACCCCCAAGTGTTTTTCTCCCCTGTTTCTTCCAGCTCTTGGCCCAGTGAGGCATCCAAAGAACAGAAAGCAAAACAACAATTCCAAATCATTATTTCAAATCACACTGCAAAGACTTCATCCCTACCTAATGCCACAGAATGGCAGGAATCTGCCACCAGAGAAAGCCAAAATCTCCCTAAAGATTATTATATGGCTTTCCCCCTCTCCCTTCCCTAGAAAGACTGACTGCCGTAAAAGCCACAGAGTATAGAAGAGTCACAAGAGAATCGTCCAAAGTCCAAAGCCCTACAGACACCATGGCTCCTGTTTCTCTGTAGCAGAACTTTGGGATCTATGAAGATCCCAGACAGAAGCCGAGATTAGTTGGGCACTTGGGGGGCACATGGGCTCAGAGAGTTGTCATATCCTATGGCTTATGGAGTTCTTACAGTTAAATGAAGTTTTCATCAGTGTCTGGTGACCTGGCCTTTCCTATTCTCTAACTACATCCTCCTTTTTCAACTACAGAACCTCCAATGTCTGGGAGCACAGAATTACCCAAAGGTCCCCTGAGAGCCATGCTCTTACACCTGAGTGCTTTGCACAGCATTCTTTTTTTTCTTCTTTGAGTTGGAGTCTCACTCCATTGCTCTGGCTGGAGTGCAGTAGCACACTTAAGACCACCCCAGCATCAACCTGCTGGGCTCCAGCAAACCTTCTGCCTCAGCCTTTCAAATAGTTGAAACTACAAATGCACGCTACCACGCCCAGCTAATTTTTTTTTTATTTATTGTAGAGATGAGGTCTCACTAAGTTGCCCAGGCTGCACAGCTTTCTTGATTAGAAACTGGCCCCTGACTCCCCCACTCCTCATGTGCCCAGCCCCCAGCCCTAGCAGGGAGACACCCAACTTTCCACAAGTCTTCCCTAAGACACTCCCTTCTCCTTGACAAGACCCTTGACTGCCCCACAACTCAATAACAGCCTGACTCCTCTGAGCCTCTCAACCCTGGGTGTACCGACATGGGCACCAACCACACCATCAGGCAATCTGACTCCCCCTCACCATGAGCTCTCCTACTGCAGGACTCCATTCTAGCACCCACCTTGCTGCTGACACAAACAGGTGCTCATCCAGGCTTGTTGAATTAATTCAATCACCTAGTCAGGACTGTAAACTATGGGAACTCAGAAAACCCAAGTTGTGGGGTCATGATGAAAAGCACCCTCCGGTAATAGGAGTTTAATTAGTGGGAAGTGGGTTGTTTCGGAAATACTATTTGAGACCCAGATGGCAGAGACCCAACCAGATTGCTGCCCAATAACTCTCCCTAGGGCTGCTCCCTCCCTCATCCCCTAGCTGTCTGCTTCAGCTTTCTCCCTGCAGAAAGGAGGAGAAAGAGACATCCATAACTGGAAAGTTTCCAAGTGACTGTTCACCATGGATGCCAGAGCTAGATCCTGTATCTAAAAGAAATAAAGGAATCTTTTCTAAGGAGTAGGATACAGCAAATGGTCAGAGAAAGATGTCCAGATGGTCCAGCATTCTCTGAAATCCTAAAAGGATGTACAGAGTATACAAGGAGGGTGAGAACATGGTTCTCTCCATATTATTCCTCAGTGGTGTCAGAGAATAAAAATTCCCCAGATTCATGAAGTAAACATGAAACAAGGAAAAAGACACACAACACATGTCAGAGTGTATGGATGGTGCACACCATACACCAATCCCACTGAAAAAAAAACTGTCTCTTAAAGACAAAGCCTTGTGCTTGGCTCTGGGTATTCACCCATTCTCCCTTAAAAATACAGTCTAGTGGAGCAAATCTGATATAGGTAAATATTGGTGATGTTAGTGTCAGTGATCATTTAAATTTCAAGAGTAATATGATTCTATTGCATAAAAAGAACCATTAGACAGGCATGGTGGCTCACACCTGTAATCCCAGCACTTTGGGAGGCTGAGGCAGAAGGCTCGCTTGAGTCTAGAAGTTTGAGACAAGCCTAGGCAACATAATGTAACCACATCTCTACAAAATATCAAAAAATTGGGCAGGCATGGTGGTGCACTCCTGTAGTCCTAGCTACTTGGAAGGCTAAAGTGGAAGAATTGCCTGAGCCCAAGAGGTTGAGGCTTTGGTGAGCCATGATTGTGTCACTGTGCTCTAGCCTGGGCAACAGAGTGAGACCCTGACTCAAAAAATGAAAAAGAACCATAAAAAGTAGAAATCAAGGTTATTGTCAGAGGAAAATACAAAGAATGACAATATGTACCAAATATGGATAATATTATTTTATTACTAATAAATAGGGGACTGATAAATTCTTAGCTCAGAATAATGAAAAGTAAAGGGTGTCAGGATATAGTTTTTAAAAACTTCAATGGCATTGGATGCTCTTTTTCTTTTTAACTTGGCTAACAGAAAGTGAATTTTACCTCACATTCACATAGGTGAATAATCAAAGAGGAGACACAATTTTAAATTAAAACAACACAAACAAACAAAAAAACAGAAAACCCAGCATCTAAAGAGGAAAGCCAATAGTTGGTTTAATTTGTTGGATGTCAGCTTCATGAAGCTGTTGGGTCCTTACCTCCATTACTGGGAAAATTATGCCGAATCCAAGTCCTCAAAAATGCAGGTATATTAATTACAAATCACAAAATACAGAGATGTCCTGCTTGTAATCATTAATCAAACATATTAAGAGCAACCAAAGAGGAAACGGAACATTAGAGGGGAGCTTCTTAAAGAGTAATTTCCTAGAAGAGAAATTTATGGCCTATACTTATTCTCCATTAGAGTACGTCTAACCTCTTTTATTAGTTTATTCATCAACACAACCTGGGTTTCAGGCCAGCTCTGCAAACCAGCAGGTCATCAAGAAAGGGATCCTCTGGGGCTTTTCCTCCTGGTCCAGCTGTGCTTCCCAGATCATAACACAGTTAACAGAAGTAGTCATGGTGCATTCAGCAGGAAGTTTTTAGGTTTTCCCCAAAAGGCAATTCACAGAGCAAGCCCCAAGGGTTGTATGGATATAAAGTGAACATCTAAAATGTGCTTTGAAATGAAATGATTTTCTGTTTGCCGTATGAGGTTTGTGATTGCCTCTTACAGCATTGCTTCTATTGCCTTTATGACCGGGTTCAACTTCTTATTTAGTGATGTAATAAAAGGGCGATTTAGAACCTGGCAGCATTCCCAATCAATGAGCCCATCTATCCCTGTGCACCTCCCCCCACAACACTGTGGCTCATCTCTGAGCAAGCCCACTCAGTACCCAGTTATCAGCCATGCATCCCGCCAAACCACCCCTGCTTCCCCACATGCACAACTGTTTCTCTCTTCACCACACAGTCCCCCAGCAACCCAAACCCTACCCTGGGTTTTCTCTTAATCTCTGTGCTAGATCACTCTTTCTATGAATAATATAACTCTAATTTTACTGGAAGGAAAGTAAACACACCTGATATTTACAACTTGGCATAGGGGAATGGAATGAAAAAAATACAAGAAAGAACATCTTACCTTGTTTTAAGAATATTCAGAAACTGCAAAATCTCTGAAAACTGTATCAGTCTGAGAGCTCTTAAAAATCTCAAACCTGGAAAGAAATAAAGTAGAGATGCATTATCTGCAATGCATGGTGTTAATGTCCACAGTCCGCCATCTGATTTACAACTGCTCAGGACTGGAGGGATGGGAAGTTTTTGCAGAAGATAAACCAGCCAGTACCTTGGACATATTCCTTCATTCTGATTCTTGACTGGTTTAATCTCAGCTGGTAATCTGACTTTCTCATTATAAAAATGGCCTGTTTGGAACCTCTTCAGTAAAGGAGCTTGCGGGGAGGGCCCAGGTTAGTAAGGCTTCTCATTTGGTGATCTCTGTTAAAGCACTATTCCAAAGTTCCCTAATTGTATGGCAGGATTTTTGTCTCTGAAAAATACTGGGAATTGTGATAGCTCAGGGTAACCCTTGCTCTAAGAGCAGATTAAGAATAAATCGGATAAACTTATGTCTTTGATGGATTTTTTTTATCTTTATCTTCAGCCCTGATAAAATGAAGAGCACAGCCCACAGCGTTATCTGTTTTCTACAAGGTTCCATATTTTTCTCCCAATCAAAAAAAAAAAAAAAAAACCTAAAACAAAAACAGATCAGTAAGATATCACACTCCACAACTTCAGGATTCTAAATTTATATAGCTCCACTTTTACTAAGTGTTAAGATAACTATTTGTTCTTTCTAAATCAGCAACCTCTCTTGAATGGAAAAGAAGAGCCAGTGTTTCTAGGTGGCATAAGAGAAACAGAAGAAAAACACAATCAAAGATTTTAAAAAACAACAAATCATTATTGTGTTTTAACAGTCAGCAGTAAACTAAATGTCTGCTGAGGTGAAACTGGCAAGTCAAAACTATCTTGAGTCAGTCATGGGCTGTAATGCCCTGGCTACCATGCAGGAGAATTACTTACAAAATGCTGGTCATCACAGCTTTGAGACACCTTGAGTGTCACACTCACTCCCAAGAGGATTTTCTTTTGCATATTTTCTTGAAGCATTTTATTAAGTACAAAGCTCCCAGTGACGTGAGTTGCCAGCCACCTCCCGGCCCATGGGTGAGACTTTGTTCTGCCCCCGTACATGAGGCAGTGAAGGGCAGTCTCATACACAGTGCCTTCCTAGAGACACTGGAGGAATCCTCCTGCCTGAACAAGGAGTCTCCTACCTGGGCCCAGCGGAAATGCTTAGGTAAAAGGGAAAATTAACTCAGCCTCATGGTGCGGGGGGAAGAACAATCTAACTGTACAAGGAAAGACAGAGAGAGAGAAAGGGGAAAAGGGCTCAAAAGGAGTCTGTCTCATCTGAAAAGGATTGATTGACCTTCATGAACAGAAGATTTTTTTTCAGAAAACATTTTCCTTCTATGCTAAAAATTTTATATAGATCTTATTAAACAAGACACTACAGAGATGAGAAGGGATGTTGATGAAATAAAAAGGCCCAGGAACCAAAAACACAGTCATAACTGAGCTGATGAAAGACTGACTTAGCACCGCTGAAAACTGAACATGATGCAGAGCACAAAATTGAGAGGTCATCTTTGAAAGCAGAGAAAATAAGGGAAGGGTAGAGAAAAAGATGAGACTTAAGAAAATGGAAATGGAACAGAGATCACAGAGATCCAACCTATGAATAAATGTGTTCCAAAGGGAAGTACACACAACACATAGATCATAAGCAGTGGCCTGAACATAATAGAACTTTCTAGATGTGAAAAAATGACTTGAGACTAAGAGGCAAAATGAATGACCAACTCTTAGAAAACGATGCCAAAAAGTAGCTGGCTTACTGTTTGCAAATTTCAAATATTAAAGTCAATTAAACAACAAAAATAAAGCACTGGTGTTGGAGGACATTATTTACCATTAATATCACCAAGATTATTTTATGTAACATAAATGTAAAACAACACTTGAACAAAACTTAGATTTTTTTTCAGACAAACAGAATCTGACCCCAAATTTTTATATAAAGTCAAGTGTTTGTTCAACAGTAAAGGTAGCACAATAAAATAAAATAAAATAAAAAAGTATTTTTCAAATTGCCAAGGTCTCAAAAAACATACTGTTTGCTCAGTTTGTGCAGAAAGTTTTCAAAGAGGTTTGAAGGCTTCCTAAATCAAAATGGGGGGCAAGGGCTGGAAAGTACATTTTTAACAGACTCCACTGCACGTTCTAAGCATCCGGGTCAATCTGGAATGTTATTTCACACTAGAACCATTGGCACACACTGCTGTGAGATAAAAGAACAAATTTAGAAATTTGAAGCAGAAAAGGACTAGCAGTCAGCATTGAAACCAAAGGTACAACAATCCCCGTTCCCTGTAAAGGATATGATCCAAGACCCCTAGTGGATGCTGGAAACCACAAACAGTGCCAAACCCTACATTCACTATGGTTTTTCCTATACATTCATGCCTATGACAAAATTTAACTTATAAATTAGGCATGGTAAGAGATAGCAATAACTAATCATAAAACAGAACAATTGTAAGAATATGCCATCATCATCACCCTGGCACCTTGGGGCCATTATTAAGTAAAATAAGAGTTACTTAAACACAGCCCTACAAGTCCAAGATAGTTGAAGTGACTAACGGGCAGGTAGTGGAGATCGTGTAGAGGTCCTGGACAGAGGGAGGACTTATGGCCCTGTGGGATTGAGCAGGTTGACATGAGATTTCATCTCGCTACTCGGAATGGTGTGCAATTTAAAACTCATCAGATGCTTATTACTGGAACTCTCCACTTAATAATTTCAGACTGCAGTTAACTGGGGGTTAGCTGAAACCTCAGAAAGTGAACACACAGATTAGCGGGGACTGCTGTATAAGGACACACTAGTAATATATTAGCCCCTCAGTGTTTAATCCTGAAAATCCTATGTGTGCATATATATTTTTATTATTAACCATCATTAAACTAAAAATAGAATACAAATGACCCAAACCTTAAACTGGATGGAACTAAAAATAGAACACAAATGACCCTAACTTTAAAGTGGATTTCCTCTTTTTTATCTTTAAGAAATAGGCCTTGCATAGCATATCAGTTGTTTATTTGTAGCTTGCCACGTTTTGGTGACTCACAAATATATGCTAGAATAAAAGCTTTTATTTTATTTGAGGGGTATGAGATTAAGACTAGGAATAAAATGGATACAGAGGCCACAAGATCCTCTGCTCTTGCCAGAGATAAACTTCAGATCTAACTCTGAGCACCTGCTTAATAAAAGCAAGCAGGAAGACAGTATAAGATTAATAATGTATATAAAAGAGAAAAGCAAACTGGTTCCCAGGAGAACAGTTTTTCCCAGCATGGAAATCAGTGGAAAATGTCTCCTTGCGAAAGGGACACAAGGTGGTGCAAGACTAAGACTTGTGAGCTGAAAATAACCTTTGCTTGTTGGACTCCCTTGTACTGGTCATTTCTATGTCATTGGATTTCATTAAAGCAAATGAGTGAATGAAATTCTTCATGGGTTAACAAGTCAATCTATGCTCTTCTGTTGTACTTAAAAAGACATTGTTGGTGTGTGGTTACTGTTTCTTGAATCCTCAGATCAGGCCAGACTATCTGGAGAAATGGTTAGTCTGAAGCATGTATCCTTCAGAAAACCACTCACAGCAGCTGCCTAACTGCTTTCTGCCCTGGACCCCTTGTGGTCTCTGCTCAAAATCCTCTAATAACCCCCATTTCAAGCAGAGAAAATGCCAAAGTCCTTCAAAGACCTAAAGTCATGCCACCCTCCTACCCCCACAATCTCCTTTTGGATCCCTTGGATCTCCTTTGGATCAGATAGCTTAATGAGTGAATTCCTTTATACTTTCTTTTTTTTTTTATTTTTAAAATTTTTTATTTTGTTGTTGCTGTTTTTGTTTTTTGTTTTTTGAGTGGGAATCTCACTCTGTCACTCAGGCTGGAGTGCAGTGGCACTCTCACGGCCACCCCAGTGTCAGACCTGCTGGGCTCAGGCGACCCTTCTGCCTCAGCCTTCCAAATAGCTGGAACTACAAGCATGCACTACTATGCCTGGCTTTTTTTTTTATTGTAGAGATGAGATCTCGCCAAGTTGCCCAGGCTGTTCTCAAACCCATGGGCTCAGGCAATCCCCTCACCTAGACCTCCCAAAGTGCTGGGATTACAGGCTTGAGCCACTGTGCCCAGCCTCCTTTACACTTGCAAGAAATAGTAAAGCTTCTCTATATATTCTTTAAGTAGTAAAAATGAACTTACCTCTCTTTTTCTGTGCTCTGTGTTGATTTAGAAAGCTGGCATTGCCTGAACACGGGTACCCCAAACATTAAAAAAAAAAATGACAGGCTCATCACATTAATGACTAATGATAACCCTAAATAAAACACCAGTATATCAAATCCAGAATTGCATTAAGTGAATAATATATGTGATCCATAATGGATGCCATGGGGTGCCATCCAGATGCCCTCTCCAGGGACCTTATTTGTCCCGGGATCATAAAGAGTGGCCTGCCAAGTGCTCACAACTAGTCTCTCCACCAGAGCTTTCCTTTGCTCTAGGGAATTGCCTCACCTGAAGTTATAACCCCTGCCCATGACCAGTTGATGTGGGGGATAAAGGCCAGCTGCCTTGCTTCAATCTGGAATGATGCTGAAGGGTCATCTACCTGCAGTGTTCCCTGTGTAATGGGCTGAGGTTTCCCAGGCAATTGCCCCCCAGTCTGAGTTCTTTCTTATCCCCTCACAGGCATGGGCATTAAGCCCTGCCCTGGAGTTCTGTCTACCAGAAGACTAAGCATTCTGATAATACGTGTGGGCATGTGAAAGTACTCAATCAATGGCCATTTCATCACATGAAACTGCAAAATTAAAACAGCATAGGTTCATATGCAACTCCACAGAATAGTCATCAAGATAGACCAGAAAGACACACACACACACACACACACACACACACACACACACACACATACACACAATGTATAGTGCTATTGTTATTTTAAATTTTTTGTGAAACGACGTTGATAATTATGTGAATCATTATTATGAATCATCTACTA